AAATGATAATCATTATGATTATCTTACCAAACCTTTTACCTTGACCGAATTCAATTCAGCTGTTAACTCTAGATAGGACACTACTTGTGGTTTAGATTCTGTTCCATATAAAGCTTTAAAAAATATGAATACTGCGTGTACAGAACTAGTTTTGAAAATATATAATATGTTGTGGTTTCATTCACTTATTCTTAACAAATAAAAAACTAGTAAACAAATTAGATATTATACAAACTAAGAATTTAAGACTTATTACCGGCTCTATGAGAACAACTCTTATTGTTTCTTTACAGGCTGAATGTCTTACTCCTCCTATCTTCATCATCATCACAGCCCTTCACAAGTCCACTGCTGAACATAGGCCTCCCCCAAGGAATGCCACAAAGCACGGTCCTGAGCCACCTGCATCCATCTAATTCCTGCATATCTTACCAGGTCGTCACTCCATCTAGTGGGGGGACGCCCAACACTTCGCCTGCCGGTACGAGGCTGCCACTCGAGAACCTTTTTTCTCCATCGGTTGCCGGTTCTTCGGCCGGCCCATTGCCACTTCAGCTTACTAATCCGTTGGGCTATGTCGGTCACTCTGGTTCTACTGCAGATATCCTCATTTCTGAGTTTATCACGCAGAAAAACTCCGAGCATAGCCCTTTCCATAGCTCGCTGAGCGACCTTGAGCTTCCTCATCCGGCCAGCAGTAATGGACCACGTCTCAGTTCCGTATGTCATCACTGGCAACACGCACTGGTTGTACAGTCTCGTTTTCAAGTTTTGAGGTATACCTGACGAGAAGATGTGCCGTAATTTCCCGAATGCTGCCCAACCGAGTTGAATCCGTCGATTGACCTCTCGGTCGAAGTTGGACTTACCTAGTCGGACTATTTGTCCCAGGTAAACATACTTTGTTTTGTCCATGTTCATCTTAAGACCTATCCGTTGGGAAGCACTATTGAGGTCATTGAGCATAGTGCTTAGGTCCTCCAGCGATTCTGCCATAAGGACTATATCGTCGGTAAATCGAAGGTGAGTGATGTACTCGCCATTGATGTTGATACCGTATCCTTTCCAGTCCAGAAGCTTGAAAACGTCTTCCAATGCAGCGGTGAAGTTTCGGGGATATGACGTCACCCTGTCTTACACCTCTCTGCAATTGGATAGGTTTGGTACTCTGGTTCTGTACTCGGATAGCCATCGTAGCCCTACTGTACAAGCACTTCAGCACTTTGATATACCGACAGTCAACTTGGCACCGCTGAAGGGACTTCAGAACCGCCCAAATTTCGACGGAATCAAAGGCTTTCTCATAGTCCACATACGCCAGACATAGTGGCAAATTGTACTCCTCTGACTTCTGCACAATTTGCCGAAGGGTATGTATGTGGTCTATGGTGCTAAAGCCTTTTCGGAAACCGGCTTGTTCGGGAGGCTGGAAGTCGTCAAGTCTGCGCGCGAGACGATTCGTAATGACTCTCGAAAACAGCACGTAGACGCGGCTCAGAAGGGAAACCGGTCTGTAGTTCTTCAAGAGAGCGTTGTCGCTTTTCTTGAAGAACAAGACCACCGCACTTCTGCTCCACGCCTCCGGTGTAATGCCACCATGGAGGACGGAATTAGAGAGCTTCTAAAGGACTTCAAGTACCGGTTTTCCACCCGCTTTCAGAAGCTCCGCAGTAATTCCATCCTCGCCAGGGGCCTTGCCGTTTTTAAGGTGCTGGAGAGCCATTCTAATTTCGCTCTGACTGACGTCCGGGATATCATCGGAATAATGTCGGATAAAACTCGCTCTTGGATCGTTACTCACACTTGCGTGTGGCTCCAACGATGACGTGTACAGCTGCCCATAGAACCTCTCAATCTCACTCAAAATCTCAGGTGCCCCGGAAACGATGCTGCCGCACTCGGTCCTCAGCTTTGACAGTTGGCTCTTTCTGGCAGACAGATCTCTGGCAAAGACTTTGGAGCCTTGGTTCCGCTCGATCGCTTCTTCAATACAAGCTGTATTGAAGTGGCATAAGTCACGCCGCATGCATTTGGAGATCTGTCTGTTCAGTTGCCTGTATGCTGTCAAATCTGTTGAAGAATGTAGCTTCATCTCCCGTCTTACAGCCATGATATTAAGAGTGTGATCGGAGAGTTTTTGTGTTTTGTCCGCATGGACAGTTTCCACGAGCTTGTCATTCATATCGTTCACTTCATTGCAGTCTTCTAGGCACTGAAATCGGTTTTGTAACTCGAGCTGAAAGGTTTCGGGACTTTGGATTAGAGCACGAGGGGGGCGGAGCGTTGACTTCATTAGACGAAACCTCTCCAACTTAACGTTTAGGTTCAGTGTGCCTCTAACCATTCGGTGATCGCTGCTGGTTTTCACTCTCGCGATCACTGAGACATCACTGAACAGTTGTCGTCTGGTCGTCATAATGAAGTCAATCTTATTTTTTGTCGAACCGTCGGGGCTCGACCAGGTCCACTTTCTGTGGGGCCGCTTCTGGAAGAAAGAGTTCATCATAAAGAGTCCCTCTTTCTCCATGAAGTCGGACAGCTGCTGGCCCCTTGGGTTCCGTTGCCCTATTCCAAATTTCCCTACTTTCAGCTCATCATTCTCTCTTGTGCCTAGTTTTGCATTGAAGTCTCCCATTAACACCGTATATTGGGTTTTGGAGGAATGCATGGCTCTAGAGATATCCTCATACATTTCCTCCACCTCCTCATCGGGGTGGGCTGAGGTTGGTGCGTAAACCTGTATGACCTCCAGCGAATACCGTTTGGTGATTCTGAGTATAAGGTACGCAACCCTCGTCGACACACTCTCAATCTTTACAACGTTGTTAACGAGAGACTTGTGGACGATAAATACGACACCTCCTTGGGACAGATGGTCGCCCTCCCGGTAATAGAGCAAGTTGCCGGATTCGAGGATTACCGTTTCCTCCCCCTCTCTTCGGACTTCGGATAATCCTATAATATGCCAGCGTAACTTGTCTATCTCTTCTTCCAGTTCCACAATCTTCTCGTCAGTCCTCAGGGTGCGTGCGTTGTATGTTGCCAGGTCGAGTCGTCGTAGGTGGCAACCGAACCTCCACCGGAGATTCTTAGCACCCCCCTGCCCCGCCGTTACCATGGTCACCACCGTAGCCAGGAATAGCGGGGCCGCCGGGGACTGGGGGCCGTCTGTTTGTTGCTTTAGTCATTGGGGGGTATATTGCCATAGTTGCAACGCTTGGCGAGCGGGATGGCAACCGCAGTTTTTTTATTGTATTTTTGCTGTTATCAGGAGATGCTGCTGCCCATCTACTGCCTGTTTCCCTTTGTCGCCTTTTACGACGCCGACGGGAAGATATGGGGTAGTGGATATTCTTAACCGCCACTACACCATACACTACCCTCCTATCTTACTTAGGTTTAAATACCTGAAATTTAGGTTTTTATTAAATATTAATTCTTTGTCGCATCATCCTCTTTTTCAAAAAGTTTTATTTTACTATAATAGTATGTCTAAATTCAGTGATATACACATAAATATTGATGAAAAATTGAAAAGAAAAGAAGAGGTTTATGAACTTATATCTACATATGATGAATATCGACAAATTTACACAGATGGTTCAAAAGTTTAAAATAAAGTAGCCTGTGCATTTTACATACGTCATCTGAAAACTGGACGTGGCCTTTCCATTTCTGCATCAGCAAGCATATACACTGCAGAATGTTATGCTGTCTTAATCGCTCTTAAATATATAGAAGAACACCCACATGTATCCAATAAATGGTTACTGATCTCTGATAGCATGAGTGTCTTGAAGGCACTGAAGGCAAGAACTTTAGATGCTAAAACGTCTTTCATCATACATGAAATCAAAAGTTTGTAATGGAAATTAAAAGAAAATAATTTGGAAGTAAAATTTTTATGGACTCCGTCACATATTGGTGTTCAAGGAAATGAAAGCGCAGACCATTTACCTAAAAGTATAGTTACAGCTGATATTGATAAGATAACCGATGTTGCAATATCACATACAGATTTATATTCAATTACAAAGCAACAGTTAAAAGAAGAATGGAAAATACAATGGAATGCTGTTTTAGAGCAGGAAAAGGTCGTTGGTATGCATCAATTAATTCAGAATTAAGTATTCCTTGGTTTTCTCGCAACGAGAGATACCATAGCAGAAAATTTTATACAATAATGTGTAGACTTAGATTTGGCCATTATCGACTGAACGCTCATCTTTCCAGGATGAGAATAGTAGCATCTGCAACATGCAACTTCTGCGATACAGAAGCAGATCAGACTGCAGAACATATAATATTTAACTGCTCAGCGTACGCTATGGAAAGATTGGTACTCATTGAAAAACTTATACAAGTTTATGAAAACTCAGAAAGGGACGCTTTCATTGAAGATTTCAAGAAAGATTGCTACTCATTGCAAAACTTATACAAGTTTATGAAAACTCAGAAAGCGTCCCGCATGCCCTGCAAGATGTTCTTAGGAATACTAAGACATATTTAGCACTTTTCTTCATAATACTGTATAAGAAATATGAAATATGGTATCCCTGTTTTGAAAATATTGGATTGACAAATCTACATGGATTGAAACTTACAAAGAATATAATATAAAGAAGACTTGGCTTTAGCCTTTACGGTTTTTGAAAATATGAAGAATTAAAGAAAATAAGACTTGGCTTCGGCCTTTATGGATTTTGAAGAGATGGAAAGAAGAAAAATAAGACTTGGTTCCAGCCTTTACACTTTAAAAGTATATATATTCAAAATAAAAATGAGAAGGCTGTATGGCTTAGTTTCTTTGCCTGCTCTCTCGAGGGAATAATAAAAACAACAATATTATGTCAATGTCAATTTGTCAAATGTCAAGTGAAAGAAAGTGGTGGAGTGGAGTGGAGTGGAGTGGATTGAATTGAATCCTATTTATAATAGGCTATATGAGTACATATAATCAATTAAATATTTAAATCGATGGCAAAGCTTTAATATTTACAATGACAGATTACGTAAAACCACCTGTGGATCCTGACCTAGTAAAGTTTACTGAGAAAAATGATTATGATGCTCTTGCTAAGTACTTGGTCGGTAACAACTACCGCTATCGTGAAAACATAATAATTCCAAGAATTTTGGGACCCATAGTTATAAAAACAAATGAAGAGAAAATGATAGAAGCCACAGTTGAAAGTTGTCCATTTAAATCCATAACTAGTTGTATCATAGGTAAGCGGTAGTGGTAGCTTTTGGCCTTTATAAATTTTATTGTGTTTAATCATACATATAATGAATGTTTAAAAAAGTCAATTTAAGCCACTCTCATGGATTGCCTCATATTTGTCATAGCCTGCTATACAGCAAGCAGGCAGGTAGGCACTGCGGTTTTTTTTTATTTTGAATTATTACCAGAAAATGTGTATTATGTATGTAGTGGCGGGTACCGTGTAGTAGTGTCAATCCACTTGCCAGGCGTGGCAACTATGGCAAATATCCACCCTTAGATGCAGTTTATGGGGGAGGCCTTTGTTCAGGTGTACTTTAATAGGCTGTAACAGTATTGTCAGAAAATGCTGCTGCCCATCTCCTGTTTCATTTCTCTCTTTCACCTTTTATGACTAATTGCAGCACTTGTACATGGCTAGTTATTTAGTAATCATAATTGATATTGATATGTGTGGTGTGGTATGGAGCTTATTGCAGGTTACTCAAGACAATGCCATGAGGCATTCTATGGGGTAGACTTATGCCTGTTCAACTAGGAGGCTCTAATAGAAGATTATCTACTAAGCCACAAGAGATTTTATTTCACATACCTCAATTTTAGCTATGTAGTGCCAGCTACCCAAATTATCCATTCTGTGACATAATATGTACCAGAGGGGACTGAAACAGGTGGGCAGCAGTATGTTCCTGATATTGTCTCAATAATAATAATAAAAAACAATGGTTGCCAACAATCTATGGGAGAAGCCTAAGTTCAGCAGTGAACTTTTTATGGGCAGTAATTAATGAAAGGATGATTAAAAACACCTTAATTTTCTGACGGCTCTGTGGCACAGTGGCTTAGCATTGAGTTGCAGTGCTGCGGATGAATCCCTCATGGAACATGTATTTGTATGGCCTGCAAATAATTGTTCTTGGTCTGGATAATTATCCGTGTGTTTGTGTGTTATTTTTATATGTTGTAGAGCCAAGCTGCAGCTATATTAGTAGTATTGTTGTAGTGCAATTGGTCGGCTTGACCAGGGAAGGACCACGCTCTCACAGAATAGCAGCGTAAAATAGCAGCATAACACTGCTGTATTTTGTATAGTGAGTGTAGAGAACTGGAGACCCTTTTTACTGAAAAGATTCATTCTATCTTAGTCCTCACGGGTGATAATGCATCTGCATTTTGATTCTTTATTGAGGATAGATGTAGGTCTCTATGGGTCACAGCAACCACCTACCATCAGGTGGACTGTGTGCTCGTTTATCACCCTATCCTATATAAAAAAATTAAATAAGTAAAATGCCTCTACGATACAGGAGAAAATCCTAGTGTGGGTATTATTTTTTAAATAAAAAAAAGAAAAATAATTTGAATATTTATAGTAATTTAATATTTACCAGGTTATGGACTTGGTGCAGCTGTTGGTTTATTCACATCCTCCCTTATGCCAAATGTAACAGACCCAACGGCACAGCAAAATCAAACGGCTAGGGAAATATTGAGAGAGATGAAAAGTTCTATGCTAAGTTATGCCAAAAATTTTGCCATTCTTGGAGCTGTATTTTCTGGTGTGGAATGCTGTATTGAAAGTGCTAGGGGAAAATCAGATTGGAAGAATGGGACATATGCAGGTGGTGTTACTGGAGGACTTATTGGATTAAGAGGTAGTAAACTTTTGTTTTCAGATATCTTAATAAGTTTTCATTCAGTAAAGGATAATGGAGAAAAAATTGTTGATGGAATTATTAAGCATCTTCTTATGTCACCATTACAGATATCAATAAAATAATTTACTATATTAATTACTCCTGTTTAAGCGTAATTGAAAATTATATTGACAAGTTGTTGTAATGATTTGCCAATTAAGGCAGGCAAAATTCTTATACCATACAGCCTAGTCTGATGTGAATTTTGTTCAAATTAGAATATCTTTAATTCCTGACTTCCAGCAGTATGACTGAAAAAAAATTGTGCAGGGTGTCAAAATATATATTTTTACATATTCTTTATTTGTATATACAAGAAAAATTTGCTTGGGAGTGCCCCATTGTCCTTTCAAGTAACAATGTTGTGTAAAATAACCAATCCACTATATGGCCATGGAAGTTTTTAAAGATTTCATAAGAAAGAAAAAAAGATAAGGAAGGCCTTATCTTGCTGCCACAAGAAATACTAGTTGCCTCTTCAGGCTCTAACTCTAAGTCCTTTCCTTGCTATAAGATTAAAAGCCTCATTAAGAGGCCATCTGTGGAAAGATTAAAATAATTTTTGATACATATTTGGGAGCCAGATTGCCATGAGGTGACGGCGTAAGATAATCCATTACCCTATTTTGTCCTATTGGACAGTTAGTAAGAGGTGACTACTTTACTATAGGCAAATGCCAGAAAAATCTTTTGGCTTAATGGAAATAGCAGTATTACCATTTCATTTATTCTCAAATATCTTTATATACATACAATTCTTCTGTTTGTGTGTATGTGTCTGAACTCTTAAATGGCTAGGCAGATTTTGATGAAAATTTGTGTGTTAAGTTAATTCGAGTACAGTTCAGATTCACAATTGCACCCAGTAGGGTGCGCTGTTGTTGCTATGTCTAGAAAGATAAACTGCAGCGAAGGTGCAAAACATCGGTACTGCAATAGTCAATTTGCTTGTCAAGCAGTACCCTACAGTTGAATATATTGCTTTTACATTACTTTCGTTTCTAGAATTAAATATATAAGTTATTTATTGAATAGTCATCATCCACTGTCAGAAATACCTGTTTTCCACATTTAGAAATATAACTCGCTGTTATCACCTTGCTTTGTACAGATCCAGTAATCATACATTTGTTTTTAAAAGTTGAAACTAAAGTAACAAATGAACTAACAGTCCACCTGTGGTTACTGTAGTCCCTGGACACCTGCAACCAACATTGAACAAAAAAACTACAGATGCATTGTCACCTCTAAGGACTATAACAGTATATAGTATATATATTAAGTAAAGTAACAGTATAGAAAGCCAGTCTATACTAGTACAGACCAGTATAGACTAGCTTTCTATGCCCTTGAGACCCGATAACAGCATTGCAATTACTATTATTTGGCGAGGCGAATACGTGCGTGAGTTTGCACATAATTTAAAACCAAATAAAAACTATTCTCAAATTAGATTACTTACGCACTCGCGACTCTTACTCTTACGGTGCGTTTAGGTGTGTGTTAACGCTTAAAGAGCAATCTGATTATTGTCATTATACGAATAACAATAAGATCATAATGATTTTATTGTTATTCGTATAATGACATTTATTATAATATATTTATTTAAATGATAATTATTATAATTAACATTTAAATAAAACTAATTTTACGGATTTTCTCGCGTATATTAACTTATTTTATATTCCCGACGTTTCGAGCACATTACCCCAGCCCAGCCCCGTGACCATGGGTGCTGTAAAGTGCTCGAAACGTCGGGAATATAAAATAAGTTATTATACGCGATAAAATCCGTTAAGTTAATTTTATTTAAACTATAAGGTCACATTTCTTATATAATGATCTTAATACTTTAATCACAATTCTTGTATGTATTTGTTATATTTAAACATTGTGTTGATTTTTCCGAAATGGCTCCAACAATTTGGATGAAATTTTGTATAAATAAATAAATCTGTTACTTTCAAGTTTATATAAAAAATAATGTTTCTTTCTAACACTGAGTGACGCCCATTTGCCCAGGTCTTCTTCATTATTTTATGGCTTCTGGTAACAGAATTCTGCCAAATAAGTTAAGTGTACCCTTGTTTATTTCATCAATAACTTCAAATAAAAATGTAAATTTTCAGGTGGACTCAAAGCTGGATTGTTTGGAGCTGCCGGTTTCGCTGCCTTCTCTACTATAATTGACTACTATATGCATCAACGGGGATCTTAAGTTAAAATGTTTTTTTTATTCATATTGTTACAAATATAATGTATTGTTAAGTAGTAAATCAAACACTTCATTATTTTGTTTTATTAAATTAATTGTGTATCTGGGGGGTACGGTGGTCCCAGCTCCCAGCCAAATAAATTATGTGGAGTGATACTGGACTTAGCTTTTCCTGAAGTCTTACAACATATTTTATTAACCCGAAATTTCGGTCTAGATACTACTTAAGATATTTATGATAAGACGTAATGTTTGCGCCAAAAATTATGTATATGTTTTGTGATAGTGTTTAATGATTTTGCTTTGTGAAAAAGAAGGCTGAAATTAGATAACCCTATTTGTGCTGAGGTAAATAAAAGTCAATTCTCCTTTGGTTTACATTTTGTTGACACTGTCTAAGTTACGTAAATGAGAAATAGGGCTGTCTCTTACGTTATTGTTTTGTTTAATTTGTCAAGTTGACCTATGTGCATCGGTGAATAATTTGGTTGAATTGATTCTGTAGTTGAACATTGATGCTTTGAAAAATTAGTTGAAATATGAGCATAGGACTGCTTGTCTAACAGGCTAGCTAGTTTTGGAGATTATCAGATTGAAATCAGCTGCCGCACTATTTTAGTAAATGATAATATGGTGGGTGGCCTGGCTAGGCCTACTTGTTGAAAATTCATACTAGGGACTATATGTGCGTTTGGTTCGGCTCTCCACAGACGACGTTCATGTGAAATTTGTGGGTGGTCTCTGCACTGAAGCTTAGGAGGCCGCTCTGGGCCGCTTTGTGTCGCGTCGCTGTTTGCTGACCTGATCCGGTCGGATTGCGGAACTAATCGTAGTGGCACAGATAGGTGTTTGAAAGAGGTCGTCGGACTTCTGTCCAGAATAGGACTTATTTATGGGCTGCGATGTCCAGGAAGGGCATCCAGTTCAACCCTCCGGCTTGCCCACGTTGGGGCGGTAATTTTGAGGCGTTGGTTAGGGTTGCAAGATCTGATGGGGTGCCTAAGGTGGCCTAGTTTGGTAGTAGATTCGGTCTTGCAACTTGCCGTCGCGACCTTGTCCCGCTGACCGGTTTGCTCGCGGACCTAAATCCTTATGTCCGGGACGGGGGTTTGTTTGCGCCAAACGCTGTTGTCGGAATCGACGTCTAGGGGGCACGCGGCTCGGTGCCATACCGGTTTGACAGTTGGATGTGTCGAGCGCGCGCGAGTGCAAGTCAGTCGTCTGCCAGCTGTGCTTGGGACAGCACGCTGTCATTTTTTGTCGGGAACTCGGAATAATTAGGCGCAGCTCGTAAATGTACTGTCTAGGATTTGTGACGCGTATTCCTTGCTGTAGAGCTTCCCCGGGACTCATTGGGTTTGACTCGGAATCTGTATAGGTGCATTCGACAATATTATCTAGTGTGGCCTTTGATATTCTAGAAATAACTGTTGCTACGCGAAACGGTAGTGACCTTTGATCCGGACACTCCGTGTTCGTTTTGTGCGTTAACCTTATGACAAACGAGAGTTAGTGGCTTCTGTAAGTTAGTTAATCGTACGATAGAGTTAATGGACTGTCATCGTGACGAACGAGGAAAGTGACTGTGGACAACGCCGCGGAAGACCTCAATTTGGAGCAGCCTGGAACTCGGCCGCTGCTGGTCGCCTATGCTTGCCAAGGCCCCACGCATTCACACCTCACTGTAGACTACTCGCCATCCACTATTACACACACTCACGGCCTGCCCAAGCCTTGGTGCGAAGTCAGCTTCGGATAATGGTAAGTACTACGTGTTTCTAGCTTTCTCCCTTATTGTTTATTGTAATTAGGAAATTCCACGTGACCATATTCTGGCCCCGACCCTCTGCTGCTCGTCGATGGGATTACTCATGGGCCCTAATCCCGTCATTCTTGGTTGGGGCAGCTAGGGGCGTGTACATACTGAGGTAACGCTCTGCTACCAGTGGCCACGCTTGGCGAGCGGGTTGGCAACCGCAGTTTTTTTTTATTGTGATATTGCTGTTATCAGGAAGATGCTGATGCCCATCTCCTGCCTGTTTCCCACTGTCGCCTTTTACGACACCCACGGGAAGATATGGGGTAGTGGATATTCTTAACCGCCACTACACGGCTTATATTATATGCTTAAAAAATACATATTTTCGGAATTCACTTCTATCCTTCGTCGGTGATGTTTTTAATCTGCGACGAAGGATAATATCGTGAGAAACGTCAAACATGTTTCTGAGCAGTGACTGAGGGCTAATAATGATGTCGCAGATGTCGCTAGTCGGGACTGAGATGAAGTTTTTTTTTGTTACACAGTCAGTTAGTTTTAAATAAAAGTTAGCAGTTTCTAGAGTATTATATTAATATACACAAAACAATGCCTCCGTGGTTTGCTCTTTAATTTTTTGGACATTTTAACGCTTTTTTATTTTTTCTTATTAATATAAGAAAAAAACTAACATTTCTGAAAGAAATATTGACCACCTAACAAATCAACATCCCCGCTATGAAATTGTCAAATATTTAACCTCATTTCAAAGTGGCGCCGCCCTGCTGGCAGAAAGTCTTGAATAATTGGGTCATCGACATCATTTTAATGAGACATTCAAATTCATCGATTTTATCTTCAACATATATGTTTCCGGCACAGTTGAGAAAAGAAATTAAAAAAAAGAATTATCACAAAAGACAATCACGTCACTGATGAAGACTCGTAGAATAACATTTACTGATCTCTGCTAGTCACCTGCTTTTAGTGTTGCCCAAATGCAAGAACAAGACGAGACTTAGCAAGTCTTGGTCTTGGTCTTGCGCCGATACACCTGGTCTTGGTCTTGGTATTGCACTCCGAGTCTTGGTCTTGGTCTTGCAGCAAGAGTCTCGCAAGTCTCGCAATGATCTATTAGCCTATTACTATTTCTTAAACGTTACTTTAGATCTTAGAACAACTTAACAGAGTAGGTACATATTGAGCTTGAATTAACATAGCCATAGTAAAGACCAACCATATTAATAAATGTCTAAACATTTAATGAGAAATTCGAAAAATCAACTGACACCGGGTGGGGTTTGAACCTACGACCAAAGCGATCCGTGCCGATGCTCTAACCAACTGAGCTATCTACCGTGTCCCACGGCCACGGGCGTCAGTTTCTTAATAAACGTTTACATTTAATAAGCTTCATGTGCTAAAACATGGTTAAACATACATATAAAAACAAATTAATGGCAATAACTACACTGTATTTTAAATAACATTATCTCTCTAGAAAGAGATTGATGGACCCTCACCATATATGAAACGGAATAAAAGAGTTATACAATATACTATTTATTTAAATAAAAAATAAAATACGACGCAAATTAAATTACTTCACAGTATGTACACAACAGTTTTGACATTACTGTTACTTTATATTTATTATTTTGACAAAGCATTAATACAAAGTAACCATCTGGCTGACTCATCACTTAACCTATTTCTATGTTTTATAATTACTAATGATGCTTTAGAAAATAATCTCTCAGCAGGTACTGAAGTTGCAGGTATTAAAAGAAAATCACGGGCCATTTTCGATAAAATCGGATATTTTGTCTCATGCGTCCTCCAACAGTCTAAAATGTCTTCCGAGATGACGGCTCTGGGTTTACCTAGGTACCCCTCCAACTCCTTAATAACTAAGCCTTGAAGGCAAGATCCAGATCCATTTTTACACATTTCAAGTGTTTTAAAAGTGCTATGGTGTCAACCATATTTATCAAATGTGTGACGACATATTCGAGCACTTTGTGTTTTAAAAACACACACTTGCAAAAGTCGAGATTTGCAGTGAACTTACTGAACATGTTTATCTTTTAGGTAATAATAATAACAATAATAGTAAGTAATTATTATAAATCCATATAGTTAATTTTATAATAATTACTTACTAGGATAAATTATTATGATACCTACCTATTATCTAATTACAAGAATTCTTGCGAGATCAGGATAATGTATTCGTGTCCATTCTGAGCACCCGGAAACTTATTTTATTCTTTGAAACATGTACTCTGTGGCGGCAATCAAACAGTGTCAAATGTAGTGCGTGCGGCGCGGCGGCGACGATTATGCGCTATCAATAGTAGCCGCCGGCACGTGTATCTTGACCTTGTACTTTCGAATAGATGCACAATTTCTTTGACAGGTCAGTATCCGACCTTTGATGACGCCGACAACAAGACGCCGCGCACCATCGAAGTGCAGATGGTCAAAACTAGGGATGCACTCTTTTTTCTTTTAATGGATATTTTCATTCGCTATGTATATTTATGGTATTGTTCGTAATGCGCATAAGTCCAATTTTCCAAATTTATTTTTCATTATATTTTTTGCGTCTCCTAGAGTCCCTAAGCGTACCCGAACTCCTATACTCCCTGAAACGACACTTAGTCCTAACTGCAAGACGCAAGAGTCTCGCAAGCTAAGTCTTGTTCTTGTGCAAATCTTCCACGGTCAGTCTTGGTCTTGGTCTTGCTAAAAAGAGGCGGTTTTGTTCTTGGTCTTGGTCTTGCAAAAATGCAAGAACAAGACCAAGACTGCAAGACCAAGACCGATTTTGGGCAACACTACCTGCTTTATACTGTTCGAACGAGTGAGGGCTTAGAATTCTACCTTAACTTCTTCGAATTTTATTTTATTATCTACCATCAATACTATGTTCTACAAAAATATAGATCTTTCCTCCATCTAAAAAAAGTTCATGATACCATAGGCCTATTTTTTATACACAAACCGCAATAACGTAAGCCATAAAAATTAAAAAGTGTTTTATGAGTTTTATTATTAGGCATGGCATATTAATCCTTACGAATGAAAGTTACTTCATCATCAAGACAATTTTATGAAGACAAACTCTGCTCTTTATAGCATGTTGTTCGGACGCATAGTTTGAGAGATAATTAAAAGTTAAAATAATTCAACACCGCTCAGCGCGCGTACAACGCCTAGCCACCCGATGAGGAACCAGCAGTAAACGCCTCTTACCCCTCTCTTTACGCAAGGTGTCACGTTGCGCGGCTCCGAAGCGTGACATACACGGGTGATACCGTGGGGAACAGCTACTTCAGTATAAAGTAGATAATCACGGTCTCCCATGTGTGGAATGCTTTAAAAGTAACACTTTTAACTGTCAAAATAAAAAATTAAACAATTACAAATTTATTAAGAAATAAATTAAATTAATTACATTGAATAAAATTATCATTTCCAAACTATTCTTAACAATCCACGATTTCGTATCTTACCGATTTATATTAAATGAGTTGTGTTTAGGCCATGTAGTGTATATTTTACGAACCACCTTGAGAGTCAAACAATTTTTGTTCGATGAAATTATTTACATATAGAATGAAGTAAACGTCGTTATTACAAAGCAATTTTGAGTCGAAACAAAATATTATATTGATTGATTCACTAAAATGTAGGCTCCACATGTATAAAAATAAGGATTGTAACATTTATTTTAAACTTTTATCTTATAGATATTTTATGCCGCACATTTAATTTCATTTGAAGGTTTCACTTCAACTGAGTGTGATAGGTACCGCGCGTGTTCTACACATGTTTTCCTTATCGTGGGGAAATCCTGATGGATACCCTCCGCTACGGGGGCAACGAAAAGGTTAGCCGGTCTCCTGTCGGCTGAAACCCCACGGTATAAGGTATATGAGGGGTAGAGCCACCGTTTCTAGTAGGGGAACACCATCATCAAGAAGAGGGTCGTGACGAATGGCTTAACGACGTCTCCGAGCGGGATTCGCCCTTTCCCGTTCCCGCTCAGCAGCCTCCTTCTGAACCATAACGGATTCACCGAAGGTGGTTATGGCCCTCAAAGCTGAATCCCCGCTCAGGATAGCCGTCCCGACTACTGGCAGTCCGTCCGATCCCGTTCTCCAGGATCGTCCGGTCCCCTTCTCATGCTAGACATACCGCAAGGGTATAAGGCGTAGACTCCTGGTCCCACCTACTACAGTGAAACCAGTTCGCCAACGATGGGCGTCCGATCTCACACAAATAATCACCGAAGCACCCATGCCTGGAAATTATGTCTGTAATTCTGTAGGTGAGTCTTCGGGCAGAAGCCCGTTTATGCATTCAGGCTTCAAAGTGCGGCAGGATTGCTTCAACATCGCGTTTGCACGCGCATAACGCTCGCCACGTTGTAAGTGCGTTATGGCGTTTCCGCTTAACCATCTCGAACGCCTTATCTGGCTCGGTCCCGCCGCCTTGGTGAAAGACGTGGATCTGGTCGTACACCCTAGCATTCATGTCGGCCAGAATGTCCAAATATGGAAAGCGAGCCAGGCATGTCGCCGCCTCAAACGAAAAAACGACACTAAAGAGAAACAAACATATACATCTATAGGATTTAGACTGCGAGAGAATGAGATAGAATACAGTATACAGTATTTCCTATTATCTATTATTTGCTTTAGTTATCATTCGTGTCATTTGTTGAAATTGTAAACTTGCAGTCTGTATAATATGTAGAATAATAGGTCGGGGAAAAAGTTTCTATCGATGCCATTTATGAAAACGTGGAGCAAGACCGTCATATTAGTATTAGTAGTTACACACAAAACAGTTTTGACCCACTTGAAAAATGTCTGGCTATACAAAAACATTTAAGTAGTAGTAATAGACCGCACATCAGCAACAAAATTGTCACCTCTTACTTATGTCCTATAGGATATATTTCGGAATTGTGTCATTTATCATTTAGTCTTAGTGACATTATTCGGTTAGAATCTACTAGTTAGTCTGTGGTGACATCGTCAAAAGCTCAAGACGCATTCGTTTCCTAAGTTTAAAAAATAGTTTTTATAGAAAATATGATTGTGCATTAAGGCAGCGGTCCGCAACCTTTTTGATATTGCGACCCCAAAATTCAAAAAAGAGTTATGAGCAACCCCAGAAAAAAAATCACTAAGTTAACAAGTGCAAAGGTTGGTTCAGGTAACGAAGTTAGCTGTTTTTATTTCGTAAATTATGTATATTGAAGAGTTTATTTGTTTTGGAAAGTAGTATTAGAGCAAACTAGAAAATATGCATTTAACATACGAGTAATATTTATGATGGCATTAAATGAGACAAGCAATTATTTTAATATTTTATTTAAAAAAGAAGGTATATATACGTAACCTTACAATCTAATGTGAACCTTGTGCTTGCACACTTGCAGTCAGTATATTAATTCTTGGTGATATATTATCAGAAACAGACACCCTCAAATCAGGTTCTACGTTAAGTCTGGAGCGATATTTTGTTTTTATAGCAGTTAATGTGGAGAAAGCTGTCTCGCAAAGGTATGTAGATGCGAATGGCAGCAATTTCAGCAGAGATGTTTTGAATAACAGTGGATATTCCTTTTCCATCATTATCCAGAACTTGGATAGATCCGTGGTTTTGAAAATAGATCGAAGGCTTTCATCGGACATTAAATCGATCAGCTGCTCCTTTTCTTTTAAGTTCATCTTCACAGTGTTAAGATCACAAGTGAATGGATTAATTATCCATTGGTCGCCGTGTGACGTATCTGGGAATCTTATTTCCAAGTCTTGCTTAAGGTTTGTAAGATGCATCATGATTTTGGTTTTAATTTCTTCTTCGAGCTTTATATTATTTTCTTCAGAAAAGATTTCGTCTATCCACAAACTTATTTTCCTACAAAAAGCTTTTATTTTGTTAGCTAAAATCAAAACATTTGTACTCTTCCCTTGCAACGATTGATTTAAATCGTTTTTCAAAAATATCCGAAAGATAGCCAACTGTTGCCAACCAATTTTCATTCAAAAAATATTCCGCTAGCTTTGGTTCCCGTTCAAGTAGAAATATTCTGATTTCATCTTTGAGATCAAATACACGTCGGAGTGTTTTTCCTCGCGATAACCACCTGACCTCCGTATGTAACAGTAGATTTTCGTATTCTGATCCCATTTCACGACACATTATTTTGAAAAGGCGACTGTTTAATGCGCGAGCTTTAATAAAATTTATTATTGTTACGACTTGTTCCAACACTTTATTTACATCTGGTTGCAAATGTTTTGCTGCAAGGGCTTCACGGTGAATCATACAGTGAACAAAGCCTACGTGAGGTGCAATCTCAGTTACTTTTGCTTTGAATCCTGTTTTGGAGCCGGTCAATGCAGCTGCGCCGTCTGTACACACAGATACACAATATTCCCACTTTATGTCATGGAGTTCCAAAAAAGGTATTAACTGCATTAAAAATTGCTTCACCGGTTGTTCTTCCTTCTAATCCCTGACAAAATAAGAAATCTTCGCATATGTCGTTTTCATATCGGTATCGGATAAATATCAGAAGTTGAGCTACATTAACTACATACACTTTCATCCAGCTGAATAGCATAATAGGGACTCCCTTTCACGCGATCTATAAGTTGTATTTTGATATCATCAGCAAGTAGATTGATACGACGATGAACAGTGTTACTTGATAGTGGAATTGTTTTCAGTAAATTGGCATACTTTTCTCCTTGCATGATCGAAACCATTTTCATTGCAGCTGGCAAAATGAGCGTCTCGCCAATGTTGTGAGGTTTTTTAGTTTTGGCAATCAAAAAGGAAACCACGAAAGATGCTTGTAAGGCTTTTTGGTTAACTGTTGTGTATTTTTGGAAATCAACCTGCTGTGACTTTAGTTTGGTGGCAAGTCGTTTAAAATAAGATTCATCTTTATTTTTGAACTATGGATGCTTAGTTTCTAGGTGCTTTTTCAGTTTGGTCGGCTTCATGCTCTCATTTGCCAAAACCTCCGAACAAACAACACACTGTGGACGTTGTTCAAAATTCAACACTGTACATTTAAAACCAAACTGAATGTACGATTCTTTAAAGATGCGTTGACGCTTCCCAGTTGTCTCCGATATAGCTGTTGCTTGTTTAGTTGAAGTTGAAGCGTCACTCTCTGTATCGATGTGTAAGGTAGATGTGGCTGTTGAACTACAATCATCGCTGTAATGACTAATAGTTATAGTAGTGGAACTAGATGTTTCTCTGCTTTCATCGATAGTAATAACACTACTAGTACTTGAAGTGGTGGCATTGGTCTCACGACTTATATTACTCGTAACAGTAGTTGTCATTGTAGAATCTGAGGCGACACTGCTGTCAAGAACTACGTGTTTAATTCTTTTGATTTGTGATGCGTTATTAGGACTTCCGCCACCTGCATCTGTAGATGTGCGTTTTATTAGCCACTTATCCATAGTTAACTACAATAATAAATACGTATTAATAAATAAAAAATGTATTCCAAAGGATTGAAATTTTTTTTATATTTTTCGTCATATGCTCGCGTGGTAACAGGATTTACTTCAAATTTATTTTCAACGAAGCACAAATAGACAAGCAAAAAAAATGGCCAAGTGCGAGTCGGACTCGCCCATGAAGGGTTCCGTGGTAGCAAGTAATGATATGACTGGATGTTAGTTGTAACTTTGTTTTTCATAGTGTTTGTATGAATGACAAACATGATTTGACGAAACTATAAGGGTTCCTTGTTTCTCAAACGGAACCCTAAAAATACATAAGTGAAGCGTAAAAAATAATTCGCGCTGGTTTTGTTATTGAACCCACGCGTCCAATATGGCCGCGCTGCGATGACGCCTCACTTTATTTTCTAAGTATGAGTGCACAGTTATTACCGTGTGCGTGGTTATCCACGAGAACACTAATCTTCTAAAAAAAACTTTCTACAGAAGTAATCTTCCGTGTTTTGACATCAATTTAGTATGTATTTGCAATCGACAAAGCGGCGATGAGTACGCACGTGCGGATAGAACTGACTGAACAGACAGACTGAACGAAGAAAGAGCGATCGGGGTGGGGGCGCGGGCGCGGGAGCGGTGAGGTTGTGACCGGCGGGACTGGACAGGTCGTACAGTCGTAATTATTTTCGATTATCTCCGTTTTAAGGACATTGTGTAATTGTGTATGTAAAGAGAGGTTATATTTTATGCGTAAACCTTAATAAAATTCGATAAATACAGGAACTTTTTGACTTTTTTGGCGACCCCATAAATATCTTTCGCGACCCCACACGGGGTCGCGAAAGATATTTGTGTCTGCTCCTAGTATTTACAGAATGAATGTCACTTATTTTTGTAAAACTACTTTTATTTTTGTGTACGTACATTACATTTTCATAAATGTATTGAGAGGCCAAAATTAATATATTAATTTCCTTAAAATTTTGTCGCAACGACTCTTTAGTAAGCCCTCTTCTCTAAAACAAATATAATTTCAGTGTCAGCTGCGTGTCTCGATAGTAAAATACCATACGACATTATGCTATGGAAATAGCTAAAGTAAACTAGTCTAGCTGTTTCAACACTGGTTAGACTTTATAATCTTTTTTACAGCATATGCTGCAGAACTAAGTCTGCTTGCTAGTTTTGATATATTATGGGAGCTCCATTGAAGCTTCGCGTCTAGCGTGGTTCCAAGAAAAATGGTGATATCTACAAGACTCAGTGTTTATGCCCAAAATTGGTCATGTTTAACGCCAACCAATTGCGTTCAAGCTGGCGCCTCACCCGATGGTATGTAGGTGAGATAAGCGCCGAGGTGGGGCGACCGAGATCGACGAGTGGGCAGTCGCTTGCTCGACGCGTTGGCAGTCGCTCCACGCGTGGGCAAAACGTCGGTGCCCCGCCAGACACGATGCAGGGAGCCCGTGCGGCTCTCTTAGCGAAATTCAAGACCCGTCGTGGATCTAGATAGTTAGATGAAGTACGTGCTTTTTCGTCACGTAGATATGTGAATTGTGCGATATTTAACTCGGGCGAGAGTGCGGAATAGTGTACGCGCGTCTAGTAGATATACGGTCTAGGATTCGAGCCGCGCATTCCTAGTTGAGAGCTTCTCCCGGTTAATTGTCAAGATATCATTATAATTGTGTCGGCGCGTTTAGTGCCCCTTTTGTGTTTTGGTTGCCTAGTTAGATTAATTTGTGTGTCAACGAGGCGTATTTTGACTCTGGTGCGACGTGTTATTCTGGTGCCGAATTTATAATTTGTGATAAGGGAATCCGGGACATTCAATGTCGATTTTTGTGCTACTGTCCTTGCCGTGTCGGATATCACGTGTTCGATTCTTTGATGAGTGTGGAATTAGGCGAATTGAAGTTAGTTAAATGTACGATGAAGCTGAGGGACTGACTAGTGACAGTGAAGAAAGAAGTGGTATTTTGGGGAGCCTGGAACTCGGCCGCTGCTGGTCGCCTAAGCTTGCTCAGGTCGCAGACATTTACACCTCACTGTACACTACTCGCCACCCACTATTACACACACTCACGGCCTGCCCAAGCCTTGGTGCGAAGTTAGCTTCGGATAATGGTAAGTACTATGTGTTTCTAGCTTTCTCCCATATAGTTTATTGTGATAGGAAATTCCACGCGGCCATATTGAGGCCCGACCTACGTCTGTTCGTTGAAATTCCGCTGATGGGCCCCGGAGGATTGAATCTTTGTGGGAGCAGCTGTAGGCCGTAACACTCAGTTTCTCTCCATTTAAAATTACATTAGTATTTAATTGTTTGACATTCGGAGTCATGAATTTCATACATTTCGTTTTAGTGCCATTTAAATGCAAATTATTAACATTGAACCAATTAACTATTTTAGATATAGCATTATTTCACGTAGTTCACGGTGGTGTCCCGCTCTACTGAGTACGCCAAGCTTTTTAGAAGTCAATTTAGCTTTCTCTTCCAAATGATCATGCTACTGCACGTCTATCGATATGTCAACGCCGAACATACCGCTATTGGCTACGGCAACAAGGAAATTGCTCTGAAATTGAGGAGAAAAAGGTGTTATTTTTAACGGTAAACGAGCAAACTTTTGAATTTGTTTAATAATTTATTTTGTAACGACCTTTAAGTTCAATGCTTTCCTAAAATATGTTAGATTTAAAGTGTATTTTTGTAAAAGAAACGAATTTCAAAAACATGGAGCTGCTCTCTAATTGGATTTGACGTTTCGCGATGTGCCTTCGACGCCGACCGACCAATCATTTGCTATTATTATAGCGTCTAATAGAGTGTAGTGACGTCAAGATGATACAAATGATCAAGATGCTACCAATATGACTGCTTTTTGAATTGATTCTTAGTTATTGGAAATTAAATATTATATTTCATGACATTTTATTTCATTCATGACGTTATTCATAACTTAAAATGTTTAAATGTTTTTTTTTTGGTGTGATGGGAGTCATAGTAAATAGATTTATCCAATAAAAAACATGCATATTCCCTATTATTATATCGTAAAGCATTACAAACTTAGTAACCTTCAACACCATTATAGACTCTTTCCTTGTTATTGTTAAGTCGAGAAAATTAAGGACACAATCTTGTTCTAATTCAAGCTTAAATTTAATTTTGTCGTGGATTTTATTAATTTTACTAAGAAAAACATCCAGTTGCCTCTTTGTCAGTCCAGCAAATAATTATGTCGTCTACATATCGATAATAGTATAAGATATTTTGATTGACAACTATGTGTTGTTTTTCAAAATTATTCATAAAAATGTCCGCCATAAGAGCACTTAGAGGGGAACCCATGGCTAGCGAAATCAAATTTTGCTAAACATCTCTTAGACACTGGACACAGCCTAGCCAATGACTACTCCTTTAAAGTCTTACATACTTGTAATAAAGGACTACGACTGTGTGTGCTGGAACAGTTAGAGATATTAAAAAATAATAACGATAATGTTGCACTGCTGAATGAACAAACAAATGTTTCCAACTCGCCTCTCTTAAACATGTTTAAGCCTGCTCCTTGATGATATATAGCCTCGCAACATGGTCGTTTGTCACCCTCACGGTGCGGTGGTCAGCGTTTGGTTGCGTGGTTGTAGGGTAGGCGGACGTTTCGCAGTAGTTTGTTGTTAATTTCACAGCAAATATCGGCGTACGTCAGGCGGTGATTGATCGCATGACGTAATCGCTCGCTACGTAATTGGAGCGCAGTTGCGTCAACAAGTAGTATAAATTTCATCAATTCAATAAAAACAGTAGTTTCGACTCGCCTCTCACTTAGCGGCCAGCCTCCGCAGAGTCTACTTCATCTGAGGATGCCTCGTGTAGAGGCGAAACACGTGTCGTATTTTCGAGAGTGGTGTGTCGTGCCTAGTGTGGTGGTGCTGGGGGTGGTAGTGCTAGGATTAACGGCGACGGGTATAATGCGCGCGATTGAGGGAGGGTGGGGGGTCCCCTTGGAACTGGGCAGGACACATAATTTTCTTTCTTTACGCGGAATTAAGCAAATTAGTTTATAACAACCCCACGATAACATTCCTAAAACGGGTTTTGTTACCCTACATTTAGTAGCGTCAACTACTGCGAAATAGCTGAAATGTTTTCCTAATAAATATTCTGCGTAGTTTTGCTATGTTTAGCTAGAGAGCGTCACACACGCGCGAGCTCTAAAGTTTTGGTATTAAAATATTCTCTTAGTATATATAAATCTCTTTGACATATATATAAATCTCTTTGACAAAAAAGCTCGATATTTGGGTACCACACGAGCTCACTGAAAGAAACCTAATAAATCGTGTACTCATTTGCGATTCTCAATTAAAACGTAATGTAAGCGAATCATTTTTGAAAAGATTGATCACTGGTGATGAATTGTGGATCACTTACGACAGTAACGTGCGAAACAGACCATGGTCAGAGGGTAGTCAAGCTCGACACACTTTAGCGAAACCCGGCTTAACACGCAATAAGTGATGCTGTGTGTATGGTGAGATTGGAAGGGCATATTTTATTATGAGTTTTTACCTCCGGGCGAAACCAGCGATTCCGATGTCTACTGCCAAAAAGACTCAAGTAAGAAATTAAGAAAAAATGTCCGGAATAGATCAACAGAAAAGAAGTGGTTGTAGAAATTATCATTGGACGTTTGAAGCTATAAGTTGATTGGCTTTGTTTTTACGATGAAGGTATAGGAATGGCCCTTTAATCCACCGGATCTTGACATCAAAATAAAACACCGGCTGCTCGTCTTGTATCTTTAATAGAAGAGTACGGAAATCGGAAATTACACAAAATGTTTTCACAATGTTTTCACGCCATAGATTATTGATGCGTTTCATAGATAATGTCAAATTTATTTTTTCGTTTCGACTTTTTTATCGGACTGGATACCCGTACCGTATTAATCCACAATATTTAATAGTGGTCTTTCATCATGATAACCTCAGACCACACACATCTTTGGCCACTCAGCAAAAATTGAGAGAGCTTGGTTGGGAAATGTTAATGCATCCACCATAAAACCGTAGGCAACTGCTAGTTTGTTATGAATACAGTAATATCCTTTATTATATTTCAGACACAGGATACGTATTTGTCCGTGATAGAGCCATGCTGCAGCTATATTAGTAGTATAGTTGTAGCACGAATGGGTCGGCTCGACCGGGGAAGGACCACGCTCTCACAGAATACCAGCGTAAATTGGCAACTTGACACTGCTGTGTTTCGTACGAGTGAGTGTAGAGAACCTTGAGACCCTTTTTACTGGAAAAGAGACATTTCATCTTAGTCCTCACGGGTAACGACTCATCTGCATTTTGATTCTTTATTGAGGATAAATGTAGATGTCTATGGGTCACAGCAACCACTTACCATCAGTTGGACTGTGTGCTCGTTTATTACCCTTATTCTATAAACAAAAATAAATAAAAAATATACCTATGGCAGTGCCAGAAGTTGAGATAACTCGACGTAAAATGAAGTTAATTAAGGTGAAAGCTCCAGGGTGGCCCGCGAAATTCAAATTTTCTTACGTTTTTTGGACTTTGCAGGTCAGGGACAGGTTGAATATTTAACAAAATATGATTCGCGACCGTAACGAGTATGTGTTTACAGAATTAGCAGATTAGTTTACCCTTTAGTCCTAAGTAAAATTTTACTATATATACTTTAGACATTCAAGGATTTAATTAAACTATACCTAATCAATATGGTTGTTTTGTTGTATCTATAAAATCATACATGTGCGAACTGAATGCATCCGGAGCTATGAGTTGATTATGATTTATTTAATTATACTATTTACGTGTTGAGCTATAAATATAGAATAAACACTCGGAAACCCACGAGCTTACTGAACCCGGCCCTAAATGATGTAAATTGGCCGCGGCTTCTGAGAGGATATCTTAGATGAAATTGTGATAAAATAATCATTACAACTCATTTCTCTTCGCGCTTTACGTTAATCCCGGAGCCATTCAGTTCGCGCACAAGCAAATAGTAATAACTACGTCCCCCTAGAAAAGAAAATTAATTAAATTAGTCGTTGACGTAGTACAACCAAAATAAATAGAACTAGATTACCCACACAATGGTGGTAAAAGTTGGGCAAAACTGGGCAGGACACATCAAGAAAGAAAATGATGTGTCCTGCCCAGTTCCAAGGGGACCTCCCACCCTCCCTCAATATGGCAATTTAAATTGCATATAAATGTAGTACATAATGTACTTATGGCGAATCAAAATATCACTATATGTTATGGCTCCAGTACACGTTGGTCGAGCGCGCTTGACGAGCGCACTCGACAGAATTTCGTGGTGCCGTTCACACGTTGGCGTGTTTCATTATGCGTTGGTAGCTAGATGATGATATGTTGCTCGTGTTTGGGGTTCCATATAACTAATTCATTGTGATAAGAATCAATGAACCCAAATATTTCCTCATAAGTTCATGTCGCCATGTTCGTGAAACAATTTTATTAAGCCGACAGACACTACAGTCTACTCGACGTGTAACTATGAACTGAACACTCTGAAAACCGACACTATACGGCTTGTCGGCGAGTGTTGGCCGTAAACGCCAAATACACAAAAAACGGCCCAGTACACGTTGGCCGAACGCACTCGGCGAGCGCGTTCGACCAACGTGTACTGCTACCTTTACTAACATACGCTGAGGTCTTGTCTATCTATATTTTTCTGTCTACGATTGTAGGACTGTTACTATACTCTTTGGCATCAGTGATACTGACAGTTGCTTGGAGTTTTGGCGGGAACTTGACCGGCGGCGGTTTGCTGCTCCTGTATTATTGTTTAAATAATGGTTTGAAGTGGACTTTGATATGTAAAAGTGGTGCGATTTTGTGTATTAAGTGTCTGCGCATGTGAACTATTAGTGTAAACTGTGAAAAATATCTCTGATGGTGATGTGATTCTCAAAATAAGGTGTCTGTCTGCTTAAGCGCCTTGAGATACCATCACCAACCGTCAGCTGTCTGCTGGCTCAAGTTGCAATCAAAATTTCCCAAGGGCTGCACAATGTGACGCATCAACATATTGTGAAGCAGTATACTATGAAGGATAATTATTATTATATTTTGTAACTTCAGGCTCAGAAGGGCTAGATACCAGAGCCGTAAAGCCAGTTATTAAGAAGAAGTGACAGTTGCTTTTTATGGCAACACGTATACTTTTTTAAAAAGAAAAACAAAGTAACGACCTTGCAAAAATCGAAAACGGTTGATTGATTTTTAGATTTTACATTTTACAATTTTAAAACAAAATGTATTAGTTGTAGATATTACTCTTCGTAACAAAACTATCTTTTACCTTTAAGTATATCTAAGTGCCAGTGCGTAGCGTAACATATTAATTTAGTAAAATGAAAGATCCTTTCGTGTCCGACTCTGGTATTGATTCGCCGACACGCGATAGTATAAAAATTATAGACGGGTGTTATAGCAGAAATATTTTGAAGACTAAGCCTTTTTTAAATTCACGTCGCGCATTGCAATCCAGTGCAGAGAAAATTTCTAAAACATTCAAAAGCGTTAGAAATACCTTTGGTAATTTATCGCAGGTAAGTTAAGTATCTCATCACTTTAATTTAAAATAATTTGACTATATAAATTAGTGTGTCATTTCAAGAATAACTTCTTTAGTTTTTCTTTTCAAAATATATAACAAAATTTGTCTATAAAAATTATTGCAGGACATGCTCATTTTCTTTTACCAGAGCCATAGTTATAATTAACATAAAAATAAAAATGTATAAAATCCAAAAAAAACAATGTGCTATATTCTTTTAAGTTGAGAATTAATTTTTTTGCTTGAATGCTGTAGAAGGATGATAATGTATTTGGTTTGTTTTTCTGTTAGACAACTGTACAATCCTTTTTACTGGAATCAAGGTAATCCATTTTAGTTCTCAGGATTGACAAAGCATTCTGCATTTTGATTCTTAATTGAGGAAATAGTATCCAGTTACCATCATGTGGACTGTGTACTCGTTTGTTACCCTTATTCTCTAAAAGCAAAAAAAAAACTATTAATGGATTGTTCTGTCATAATTTTTTTCATCATCTCCGATAAGTTTAGTCTTTTATGATGATAACTTTCAAATTTTACTCAATGCACATTCTGAAAAATGTGTATCCTTAATGTTGTGCCTACAATCTTGCATACCTTCCATACCAATATTTAGTATATTCCAATATCTTTATTTTTAATTTAATAAAAATAGTGACCAGCCAATACATTATTTAGATTATGTACCCCATTAGGTATTTAATATTTTAAGGGCATTTAGGCATTTTTTATCTCTAATTAATTGTTTGAAATCAACAGCATTTTAGACTGGGTGGTAGATGCAGACATAGGCTTGCAGAAGCTGGTTCTCCTTGCAAGTCTCCTTCCACACCGGTTGCCAAGAAAAAAGGGGTATGTATAATGTTATTAGTATTTTCTTATAAGTATGTTTTGCAGTGTGTTATAAGTGTGACTTAACTGCTTATTGTTATGTTGTTTTTATTACGGTAAGGATCTCAAAATAGAGATGCATATTTTGGTATCCTAATAAAATGTGCTAAAATTCAAGGAAACTAGTTTCTGGGCCTAATTAAATTTTTGCCTTATTAGAGTTAACCTTATTCCACTTTAATCAGAAAAACTCATTTGTATCCACAAAGAAAACTTATAAATTATATATTTTCTTAATTATCTTTGAGCTATATGGCCAACCCATTGCCACTTAATGCCAATTTTCAGTTTACTAATCCATTGGGCTATGTCGATTACTCTGGTTCTACTACGGATATCCTTATTTCTAAGTTTATCATGCAGAGAAACCCTGAGCATAGTCCTCTCCATAGCTTGCTAAGCAACTTCCTCATATGGCCAGCAGTGAAGGATTATGTCTCAATTCCATAAGTCATCACTGGCAATACGCACTGGTTGTATAATCTTGTTTTGAGGTATACCTGACGAGATGTGTCATAATCTTCTTCTAACTTACTTCGGTTTATTTTTTATTTTAACTGAGAATATATATTAAGTTCTATTTCCAGTTACTTGGCAGAAGCCCAACAAAGCTGTACAGCCCATTTGGCATTGAGACACCACATAGTCGGGACTTTAGGATGTCACCATACATGCCTGATACTCCTGACAGGTAAGTTGATGCTTCAGGATTGTAATTACAGACATTTCTTTTAGCTAAGTTATTTTCCAGAAAACGGCTCGGTGTGGTGGCGGCATTAGGGAACTTCTGTTTCATTATGTCAAAGTAGATTGATGGTAAGTTGCTGCTGTAGCCCATTTACATTCTGCAACCAACTCGAAACAAAGAAGGCTACTGAATGCATTGTCACCATTGACGGCTAACATGAAAAGCCAGTAATTATACTGACTCTACAACTATACATACCTGTCAAAAACACAGCAGTAAATACTTTAGTAAACTACTTTGTTACTGCACTAATTTTAATCTATAATATAAAAATGAATCGCTGAATGTGTTGCTAAGCGCAAATTTCGAAAGCAGCTGAACCGATTTCGTTAAATCTTTTTTTTATAATATTCCTTGAAGTACGAAGAGGTTCTTACGGAGAGAAAAATTTAAAAAAATGCCTGAAAAAGGGTAAAAACAACACTTTTCTATATTCCCATACAAAAGATTCGTAATAATACTTAAAAGTCAATTTGAACTTTAATACCATACCATAAAGTTTAAGTGTTAATGGAGGGGTTCCGGGAAGGCAAAACATTTGAGTGACGTTAGTATCGTATAAATATTATATCGTATTGTTTCATATAAATATTGTGATTTTTTAATGACTATTAAAAGAATTTTAAGTGTTTTATAATTTTTATTTTTTGGCATAATGTAGTTGTTTACTTATCAACTTTCTTTTTTCTTTTTTTATCTTACTGGCTGACCCGGTGTCCCGAATGTTAGGCGGTACGAAGTTCGCTGGGTCAACTAGTATTTTATAATTTTTAATACAAAAAAGACAGTTGTTAAATGGTAAGCCAGGGTTTTTTTTGTTTATTGTTCCACTAACATTTGTATCATTCCTTACATGCTATTTAAATACAATGAACCGATAAGAAGGCAATAATTTACAAATAATTACAGGCGGATACCACATGCAAATAACTATCTCAGCACTATGTACCTTTATTTCTAGGATAAAAAAATAAGCAATTGATTATGATATACAGTACTAAAAATATATAGAAGTGGAAAGAAAAGAAAATGTTTTATAGAATATTACAAGAAATGATCTCTTAAAGGAGCTTGTTAGGAGGGTTGAAAAATATATCGATTGTTTCGCTAAATTTGTTAACAATTTTACTCGTTCTAGCAATCGGAGAATTGTAGCCAAACACTGTTCTACAATGAGGTCTAGTCAATGGTGTAATCTTACAAGCATAAAGTGGATAACAAAAGGGAATGCATATATTAAATTTACTTAAAATTTCAGGACAGTCAAATAACACCACTAATAATTTTGTAAGCAAAAATTAAATCAATAATGTCCCTGCGGTTTTCTAGAGAAATCATTTTGAAATAGACCAAGTTATGTTCATATGATACACTTCATCTAACTTCTAAACCCACGTGCTAAGACCAATGTCTCATAAAGCTTTTTTGGATACACTCGATTCTCTATGAATGTGTAGCATAATGAGGTCTCCAGACTACAGCACAGTATTCTAATATACTTCTTAGCAAGCTGTTAAACAAAAGAATTTTAATTTTAGAGCTTCGAAAGAGTGATATTTCTTATTACAACCTAGATGCCCGTTTAGTAATGTTTTCAATGTGAGGCACATAAGTTAATTTTTTATCGAAAATAACCCCGACGTCTCTAATTTGGTCTAACTGCTGTATATTATTATGTTGTATATTATATATGCTGTATATTATATTTCCAATGTGATAGCTATAACCGATAGTGTTACTTTTTCTCACGTATTGCACATAGAAACATTTACTAATGTTTTGGTCCATACAATTAACTTTGCACCATTCTACCAATTGATCTATATCATTCTGTAGCTTCACTGAATCATTCTCTTCCGTAATCATCTTGCAAATTTTTAAATCATCCGCATACAAGTATGCATGAGAACTTTTCATCAATTCTGGAATTTCATTAACGAACACTCTAAACAGAATCGGTCCGAGATGTAACACTTGGCGCACACCAGAATTAATATTTTTTAAGCCTGACTGATATCCATTCATTGCTACAAAAAACGCTCGGTCGTTTAAATATGATTTTAGCCAATTTAACAAACTACTAGTAATACCATAGGCAGCTAACTTTCGAACCAATGTATCATGTGGAACCCGATCAAACGCTTTGATAAAATCGGTGTTCGCGCCAAGCGCTAGTTTCAAGGATTGACGCGAGAGGGCACTTGGCACGGTGCATTCATACCGGTTTGACTTTCGGTCGTGCGAAAAACGCACAAGGGCAGGTAGTCGTCTTTAAGCAGTGCTAACGATTGGCACGCTGTCATTCTTGTCGGGAACTCGGAATAATTAAGCGCGGACAGTAAAAATACGGTCTAGGATTTGTGCCGCGCATCCCTACTGGAGAGCTTCCCCGGGACACATTGTGTCTGACTCAGAATCTGAGTAAGTGCATTCGGCAATATTAGCTAGTGCGGCCTCTGATATTCTAGAACTAACTGTTGCAACGCGAAACGGTAGCGACCTTTGATCCAGAAACTCCGTGTGCGTTTTGTGCGGTAACCTTATACCCCGCGATAGTTAGTGGCTTCTGTAAGTTAGTTAATAGTACGATAGAGTTAATGGACTGTCATCGTGACGAACGAGGAAAGTGATTGTGTACAACGCCGCGGAAGGCCCCCTCAAGTTGGAGCGGTGTCGACGCTCTTGCTGCTGCCGACGGCCAAGGTCTAGGTTCAATCACCCTCAGTCACACCCAGATACACATCACATCACCTTCTTTCCCTTTCACTACACAACCACATGTGACCTGACCGACTCCGGAGGGACCAGTCGCCTTGGATATAGGTAAGTAAGCTCCGCCTAATTCCTCTGCCGGTTGACTGGCCGTAGTATAGAACGCTCCCCCATATATTTAGTGTAATTGGAGAGATTCCACATGGCCACATTGAGGCCCGACCTACGTCTGCTCGGGAGGTTTTCTGCTCATGGGCCTCAGAGGATTGGACCCCTTTAAGGGAGCAGCCGTAGGCCGTAACAATCGGTATATATTACGTCGACTTGTTTTACCGCATCAAGTGCTTCAATTAGCGTTTCCGTAATATGTACCAAGTTGTGTTTGTTGACCTAGATTTAACGAAACCATGTTGGCTAGAAATTTTTTACACAATCCTTAGTACTGGTTTTATGAACCGGAATGATTTTAGCCATTTTCCATTCTGTAGGAAACTGTCCAGTACAAAAAGAAAGATTGAATATAATTAAAAGTGGATCAACAGGATGTTCAGCACATCTGACTAAATGGTTGAACGCTCGCCGAATACTTTAATCGAGTGCATGAAAATTGTTTCATGCAGTTTTATATGCTGATTTACCAAAATGTGATTGTTTGGCTGGTAAAAAAAAACATATTTTTTCTCAACCTCTTACCTACCACGTAAAGAAAGAAATTGAGAAACATAGGACTTTCTCCTGTATAGTGGAGGCAGTGTACATAATAAATTGCACAAGACAAACATCTAGACTCAAACGCTTATATTTAAGCCATACAAATACTTACGCTTTTCGGAATTGGAACCCGATTTCCATAGCACTGCAACTGAATGCTAAGCCACTACGGCACAGAGCCCCCATTAACCTTTTAGTAGATTATATCATTCATAAAAGTTTTAAAAGATAGAACTTTTTATTTAGTTGTTTAATTTTTTTTTTTACTTTATAGATACTTATAATAAAATAATAGTATTTTTGTAGATTATTATTTATCATTTTATTTATTGACTTGTTGTTTGTAATTACTTTCGACGGTATATGTGTACTACGGTTATATAATTGCCCTAAGGTGTTACCTTAAGGCAGTAATATAACTGTAGTATTGTTTAAGCATCAAATTATTTAATATGTGGTAGAGCCACGCTGCAAATTTATTATGGTTGTACCACGACCTCGTCAGCTCGATCGGGGTAAGACCACGCTCTCACAGAATATCAGCGTAAAATAGCAGCTTAATGCTGCTGTGTTTTGTATGGTGAGTGTACAGAACCGGAGACCCTTTTTACTGGAAACGAGGCATTCCATCATAGGCCTCAGGGGTGACAACGTATCTGCGTTTTTTTTTTTACAGGATAAATGTAGATGTCTATGGGCCACAGCATCCACTTACCATTAGGTAGACTGTGTGATCATTTGTCACCCTAATTCTATAAAAAAAGTTCACCTTTTGTTCCTGTACATTATGTATTGTAAGCCTCAGGAAGAATAAATAGATAACTCATCCGTTTCATTGATTACAGTCTTTCGCCAAAGAGGCGTAAGGGCGTCACCCATTCCTGGCATGTGTTGGCTAAGAAGAGACCCAGGGCACTGTTCCACTAAGGTATTACAATAAGTAACAATCCTACGCACAAATCTACTGTTTCCCACCGCTTAATATAAGGTTAGCTTTGTTCAACAATAGTGTTGATATTAACGCGATTGGTGCTATATCCGAGAAAACAACGGAATTCAAATGTATGTGGTTTTTGACTACTGGCAACACTATACGTTTTTGTACTTCATATGTACTTTAATGGCAAGCTATATAATATAATGTAATGTGCTCAAAAATGTTTATCTTTCTATGTGTTTTATATACGAAAAACGGTTTTCGTATAGATTATTTAAATATTACATTATTAAATAATCTGCATACAATTTGTGTCTGTTAAAAAATAAAATTAAGAATATTTGTAACTTATTAGAGATGTAAAGAAATACACTTTAATTTACATATATTGGCATAAAGTTTTCTTAACCAGTGGTTTTGTGAGGTATCAAAATATTGTGGTAGCTTGACTACGGTTTGAGCAATTTATTTTATGTATATTAAATACATTTAATAAAATTTGTTCCTTTTTCAGTTTAATACGATAGTTATCAATAATATTATAATTTATAATAATCTTAAACATTTTTATGACTGATTTAAAATCCTTGACAACACTTTAAGCTCTCTAATTCCTTAAACGTAATGAATGTATTTGACATCATACTTTAAAATTTGATCACATTTTGTATGTAATATTTATGCAATGTATGGTCAGTCCCACTAGTTTCAACTAAATTAGTTTTATCATGAAAGTAGTGAAACCTTTTTTCCCAGTAGTTCAACTAAATACAAATTCTTTTGAAGAGTTAAACAACTGAGATTAAATAGCTGAACTCACACCTAGGGTTGCCAGCCCTCATAATTTAGTATCCTACTATATAAGGCGTCTGTCTACTATAGTGTTCTATAAAATATAGTAGGCGAAATCACTATATTCTAATAAAGGCTGAATATGGCGCGACGTGAGGCTATTAATAAACTGTAAAAGCAATACGACATTATTTTTAAAGATAAAATATTAATTTGAAACATACTTACCTATGTAAATTATTTTTTTGTCATATATAAAATAGTGGTATAAAAATTTAAGAAAATTTTTTTTCATGTCAAGTTGGCAGCCCTACTCACAGCACCTGATTAAACCAGTAATAATTTATATCCTGGGTTTACCCGGATTAAATTAGAATTACCATAGCTTTTTGGATGAAGTCCGAAAAATTATATTTTATAGAGATGTCCCTTAACCTTATTACCTACTGTAAAATAAATAATATAAAATATTTCCGAAAATAACTTCTGATAAAAGGTATCTTATATTAATAACATTACAATAAAATTTCCTTTTATGATATAATTTAATTGGTGGTGTGAGTGTGACTACTTTGTCTCAGTAATTCGCAAATATCACCCTTGAGAACATCTATGGGGAGGCCAACATTCATTAGTGGACTTTAGTAGACTGTAAAGAATCATTGAATGAACGAGGTGAAAAGAGTCATTAGTTAAACTAATCAGTTGAACTAGCTAACGTAATGTATCATATATATTGTAGATGAGGATCCGATGCTTTGGATTCTTCAAGACAGTATATTCGCATATCCAGTATTAAATAAGCCAAAACTATACTCGCTTTATTCAAAATGTTAAATGAATTTATTGTAGTCTTTTTTACATTACGCTTTTCTGTGACAATATTGTAGTCTGCTAATTATTTATTTATATGGTAGCTTAAGACTGTGGTAATTTTTAATAATCACATTTGTATAGTTTAAGGTAATTAAGACAATCCATTATGCTGCAACATGTCCATACGTCCTGCAAGTTCAAAGTAGAACTTTAACTGCCACAAAGTACCTTAGACATTAATATTTAAGTACAATTCTTTTGTTTTATACACGACAACCAGTTAAATTCAGTTTTTGAACAGAAATATTATTAAACGAAAAGTAAGATACTATACGAGGGTGATGTTTAAATGGACGCATTTTAACTATGTTTGAAGTAAATCAAACGTATGTGGTAATGTAAAAAATCAATCAGTAAAAGTGCCTGTGAATTACTTAGGCTGGTATTCAAAGACAATCTCGAGTTGGAAGTTGGAACTCAAACTACACTATTAAAATTCGAGTTTATTCGATGCAAATTTTTATATAGTGGAGAGTGGCAGATTATCCTAAAGGCAAACTTAGACACGTGCTTAGGGGCGCAAGGTTACAAGCGATTACAAAATTTTAAGTGCCTACTGACATAAAGTAAAAAAATATAGTTTCTATAGAGGTAGGTACCAAAGCGCGCCCTGTCTACTTGATTACTCCTACATCGCCCCCACTCTCTCATACATACATACATATAATCACGCCTCTTTCCTGTAGGAGTAGGCAGAGACCACTTCTTTCCACTTGCTACGATCCTTACATACTTGTTTCGCTTCGTCCACTTTCATTATTCCCTTCATACATGCTCTTCGGCTTAGGGTACTCTTGACCTGGCCTTTTTTCAAGACGACACTGATTTGATCTAGAAACGTCCGCCTAGGTCTACCCCTTCCAACACTTTCATTCACACTCGCCTTATACACCTTTTTCGTCAATCGTTCTTCATTCATTCTCTCGACATGGCCAAACCATCTCAGCATACCTTTCTCAATTTTTGTCACTACATCTTCTTTCAGACCACAACGTTTCCTAATCTCACTATTTCTTATCCTGTCACTCAGTTTAACTCCTATCATACTTCTTAACATTCTCATCTCAACTGCATTTATTCTGCTTTCATGTTTCTTCTGCTATACCCAACTTTTACTTTCGTACATGAGTGTCGGAACCAACACCCCCTCATGCACAGCCAAACGAGCCTTGTTAGACACCTTCCGACTGCTCATAAAGGAGTGCATAGCTCCATTCACCGTGTTTCCTGCATTCACTCTTCTTTCTATATCACTCTCACACTTTCCATCTCTCATAAACTTTGAACCCAGATACACAAACTCCTTCACCTGTTCAATTTGTTCATTTCCAATCACGATATTGCAGTTTGTCACTGCCTCATCTCTTTCAAACACCATCACATGTCTTCTTTACATTCATCTTCATTTCCTTTCTAACAAAAGCTCCACTCATAGCAGTTACCATCTCCTGCAACTCCTCGGCCGAAGACGCAAGTAACACTTGGTCATCAGCATAGAGAAAACATTTGACGAGTAACTCATTCATTCTCAACCCACTTTCATTCTCTTTTAAATCTGTCAAACAATTGTCCATGAACAGATTAAACAGCCACGGTGACGCTACACATCCCTGTCTAACACCTTTTTCGATATTAAACCATTCAGTGTATGCCCCGTTTATCCTTATACAAGCACTAGAATCCCTACAAAAAGGTTGCAATGCTCGTATGAGGATACTGCTCACACCGTTCACGGACAGTGCTGACCACAATTCATTCCTCACCACTCTATCATAGGCCTTTTCTAGATCATTAAGTTCTTAATTATTTTGCATCTAAACTATATTATTAATTTAATAGTTTATTTGCAAAGTTTATTTAGGCGCTGTCGACATTGAATCCGCCTCTGATAGTAGGGATTTAATTTAAACTAGGGATCATCTCTGAATACTGCCCTTAGTGTTCGTTATTTTGAGTAAGTTTAGTAAGGTATGCCCAGTGCACCAATTGTATTTTCCGAGTATTAATATTTAATCTAATTTATTTTCACAATGTTTACCAAAGTATTTTTTTATAATTATTGTAATCACAAATTGGTGACTTATTATTTTAATTACGATGGACGTAATTACGCAAAAAGGATCCAACCATTCATCCACATCCAACATACAAGATTACTATACAAATAAATAAAATTGAAGTGTCTGTTTGTAATGTCACAATACAGCTTTTTACTAAATGCATATGAAAGTAAAGTATAACAAAAAAAAATTAATATTTTTTTCTGATTGTTTCGGCTGATCTCCGAAATGGCTGGACCGATGTTGACGGGACTTTCACTAAGAGTTAGTTGATGTGATAACGATTGTACTCTTATTTTAGAAAAAGAATTAGGGATCCGTGCAAAAAAAATTAAAACCCATGAAATAAAAAAATAACACGCACACGAAGTCGCAGGGAACCTACTAGTTTATAAAATAATAATTAGATATTTTTATTTTTACCATTGCTTCGGATAAATATTTAATTTTTCCAAGTAAATAAACAATGAATTAATTATAATTTCGACAGTAGCCTAACGGCAGGGTGTGGATCGCGAACTTAAAAGGTTGTAGTTGCGAGTCCTCCATTCGACTTACTCCATTTTTCCACACATGCATTTTAAGTTTACGAGGAGTGGTTAAAGAGAATAGTATTAGTGGTTAAAGGGAATACTAGCATTTTTTTTAAATATTCTAAACAAATTGACCGAGTGAGGTAATATGCACATAATGTATTATTTGTTTTATCAAGTTTACATCGGGGCTCATAGCTGTGCTGGGATCCGGTTGGTAGCGCTGTAGTTTAGTTAATATTAAATACCATATCCATGGACCAAAATGACTTATATTCACATGTTGGTTCAGTGCCAAAAAAGAAATTCACATAGTCTGGATCCCGTAGTGTGATAGAGTTATAAATTTCATATTCACATTGTAAAAAGTCCGAAGTAAATTTGGAGTGGAACTCGCTACGCCATCTACCGGAAAAGGCTGCTAGTTAAGATTTTCACAATAGCTTGGCAGCGATCACCACATTCCTACCGGTTATCGAAATAAGTAAGTACCATGTTGTAATGAGAGATTACATGTTTTGTTTGTTATTGTAACGCCACATATCTATTTTTTTAGTGCAGTTTGAATTATTTTGGTATAACAGAAACAAAAACTAAAACTTTTTTTTATACAATATAGATTATAAAATTGAAAGTTACTCATAAATAATTTTATAGTGTCATTTTGACCCGAGTGTGGGTTGCATTATTTTTGCGTAGTTACGTCCAATTTTCTTTTAAATACGATTC